CGACCTAAGGTTCTTTCGAGCTGCCCTGACCACCACTCGTGCTCAAGCGGCAGAGTAGGGTCACCGCAAAAGCTAGAGAGAACCCTGGGTAAGGCATCCCAAATAGCTCCGGGGTCGAGCTGCTCGAAGTCATCCTTCTGCAGGGCGAACTGGAAGCAATCTACCCTGAAATCTTGAACCTCCTTTAGGAATTGTGGCTACTGCATGAAGTCAGCCACCACTTGTGTGTGATGCTCACGGAGGAAGAGCTGTCCAGTTGTTGTCGCCCAGAGCATTTGCCTCGCTCGAAGAGCAGTGGCATTTGCGTAGCGTTGTTTCTCCTCAGCATGGGCAGCCCTCTCTTTAGCCAGGGTCGCCTCCAGCTCAGCTCGAGCGGCCTCTGCCTGGGCTTGGGCAGCATCTGCCTGTGCTCGAGCAGCTTCTGCTTGCACTCGAGCAGCCCGCTCCTGCTCGAGTGCAGCCTCTTTCTCCTTTAGCGCGGTTTCTATTTCGGCCACCGCAACCTCATTTACCGCGAGGCGGCTTCTCTCTCCACGAGAGCCTCATCCTTCTTTGCGAGCTCTCCGTCAAGGGAATTAATCTTGACTTCAAACTCGGTCTTTTGCTCAATTTGCGTCTCGCGGAGTTTGGCGTTGTGTTTCAGGAGGGTCGAGTTCTTATCTTGCAAGTAGCCAATAGTGCCCTCGAGACCCTTTATGGACTTCCCAGAGCTATCTCCAGCCTCCTTAGCTAGAGGCAAAAATTGAACCAAGCCCTATAATCGAAGGAGATAAAGCAGTTCATACGATGTGTGGTAAAAAGAATGGTAGGAAGAAACCAATACAAATACGAAACAAGCAATACCTGGGCAAGCCAATGGACGAGCCGATCGCCAACTTTAGGCAGCGTAGTGTTGGCCTTCTTGCGGTCATCCTCGAGGAGGGCACTCTCGAGGTGCTCAGCCACCTCATTCACGGAGGCCGACAGAAGAGACGTTGATTTTGGGGCTAACGGGTCGGGCCAGAGGTGGCTGGTACGCCGTCATTTCCAGATTGCTTCACCTTGGTCGGTACGAGAGCGCTTCCTAAGGGTAATCTCGTGCCCTGCGTCATCTTGACCGCTGGACTCGACCAGTGCCTTGGTCGAGCCAGCGGAGTGAGTTTTTGAGGACTGTTGGTCGAGAGGAGGTTTTTCTGGGATCTTGGTTTTGGACGAGGTATTGGGTTAAGAGGACTTATCGGTGGTTTTGGGTTGAATCTTATCTTTGGAATTGGAGGCTCGGTGGTCAGTTTTTTGTGAGATGTCGTCGGCTTTGTGTTGACGATCAGTAGTTTTTTGGCGGTCGTCGGGCTTGTGCTGGCGATCAGCAGTCTTTTGACGGTCATCGGTTTTGGAGGTGGTCGAGGCTTTGGTGGTGGTCGAGGCCTTGGTGTTAGAGGCAGAGGTAGAGGTGTGCTGAGAAGTTTTGCCGGGGGGAGGCGGAGGAGTTTGTGCGTTGTTGGTGTTTCGGCGGTGGTTGCGGTTGTTGTTGTTGCTATTGTTATTGTTGTTGTTGCTGTGGCCCTGGCGGCGGAGGCGGTGGCAAGGGGGTCTCTCGCGGAGGTGATCGCGTCTGTGGCTCCGGTCGAGACCCAGAGAAAGCAGTCGACCTCTCAGCTTGACCCCCGGTCGAGCTGGAGGTAGCCCCTGTCTGCTTTTTAAGAGGAGTTTTCCTCGGAAGGATGTTGAAGCTGGGCACCTCTGCAAGAAAATCACAAAACAGATTATATTCGACATCAAAAGAGAGCACTTGGGGCAAAGACTAGGGGACGTGTAAACATTTGAGAAACCAGGTCGAGGATTACCTGGGTCATTCTCATGTCGAATGAGATCGGTGAGAGGAGGACAAGTTTTGTGGGTGAGCTGGCCACAATGGTGGAGCAAGTTCTCATCCCCAAGTAGTTTCTCCGATGCAACGGACTTGGCGTTCCAAGTGTGGACCCGTTGCTCGAAAAAGGGGTTTGAAGGAGGGGCCGAGACCTCCTGAGGAACCTCTTTAACCCAAGGGATAGAAGGCCACGGAAAAGGCACGTCATGCTCGACGCAGATGAACCGGTCTATCCACTTGGGGAGGTTGGAAGGGACGTCATTGATGAAATGGGCGCTGTTTCGGTTTTCAAATAGAGGCCTCGGCCTTGTTTGGAAGGGGCGTAGTAGTAATGAAAGAAGGCGAGGTCGAATCGACCAAGGCAGATGTGGCAGAGGATGATGAAGGTGGTCATAAAGCGGATGGCATTTGGGGGAAGTTGGTGTAGAGGAAGCCCGAACCATTCGCAAATTTGGAGCAGCTCAGGGCACAGAGAAAAACGGAGGCCGAGTTTGAATTGGATTTCGAATAAGGTATAAAAGTTCTTTAGAGGATGATCGTATTTGTCGGAGGAAGAGGAACTAAAAAACGACCAACCTCTGGGGTGGCCGATCTTCTCAGGAGAATATCATTTGTGGGAGAGAGAAGGGCGCTTAGTGGAAGTTCTGCAGGGGTTTTTGGTCAAGGTTTTGTTGGAAGGAGAGTTTGAAGCACCAGGCTGAGAAGAAGAAGGAGGAAGGGTCGAAGATGCAGGAAAAGTGGGTTGAGAGGAAGTGACCTCATCCTCCTCTGACTCATCTAACGAGCCAAAGGCAGGTCGACGACGGCGGAGGGGGATGTTATCCATGGTATCTCAGGAATTAGCAGAAGCAACGTGGGCTATAAAGACACGAGTAGGAACAGTATCGCCTGGGCGAAGGATAGAAAGAGGAACGACTTCGAGTGCCGAGGGCAATATTTGAACCAAATCGGAGGAGGTGGTCGAAGTAGCATGATCTGAAAACAAAAAAGAAAAAGAACAATGTCAAAAAGAAGAATTTCGACAAAAAGAAAAAGAGAAGGAAGAGAAGATTTCCAAAGTTAGGGTTCTACGAAGAGGCGATTTTGGAGAAATTAAAGAAGGAGAACAGGGATTTCGAGGGATTTTTGAAGAAAAATGGCAAATTCACAGTGATTAACAAGCGGGGACAGACATTCAACACATAGATTCAAAACACTCAAATAGCAAACTTTAGACACCCAATTCAAAAAATTCAAAATGCAAAATCTCAGATACATGAAGCATAAAATCAGGCGAGGAGCAACATACTCATAATCGCATATGAGAGATTGGGAAAAGCTCGAAGATCACAGGGGAAATCGCCGAAAAAGATTATGGTTTTTTGCAAAAGGGATGTTCGAGCACAGGAGAGTTCGAAATTGCAAAGGTAGAAAAACTCAAAAAATTCGCCAAGTATTGAATTAATACTTGGAGAGTTGAAGAGTTGAAAGAGGAGAGCCATTGGATTAAAGATAGATCTGATGGTGGAAATCATTAACTCATACGGTACTCAAAGTGGGCACGTTATGCGAGGAGGCGCTATCATTAAAGTGACTGACAAATGCGGCAGACGTGACGCGTGGTAGAAAAGCAAGCGCGGTAGAAAGGACATGTGACAGGCGACCTTATCTCTGGCAATTAATGAGGTATTATTTGAAAAAATGAGCGGGAAATTGACCAAATGGTCGATATCTGACATCATGCCACCCAGAAAGGCGACAAGCACAACTTCACTCTTAGATCGAGCAGTTTAGACTCGACCAGAGTGGGGGCGACTAGATGATATAAGATATTATACCTGCAAGGCTAAACCGGTCTGCTGAACGGTCGAGGAGGTCATACTGGGGGAAGTTGAGGAAATCGAGCAGTTAGACAATCGACCAACCTATCCTTCGACCAGATAAACGGTCGAGCAGCTCAGACGACCTCGATCGGTCGACCACTTCGAGGACCTAACACTACACTGATCGACCTAGTCACAGGTGCGTGTGAGAGCCTCTAATGGAATTTCAGAAGGATATTCATCCCATGTGCAGGAGGACACGTGTCGAGAACTTATTGGTTGACAGCAACAACCACCTCTGACAGCTTACCCCACGTGCAGGAGGACACGTGTCCAAAGAGTATTGGTACAGGCGCTAGTGGCGACGGCTACCTCTGACACACGCGTATTGTGTATACGGACGGGCAGTTAGGGCAGACAACTCACCAAATTCGGGCAGCCCTAGGTCAGGTATCTCACCCCTATATAAAAGGGGTGAGTCTTTCTTCTTCAACACGATTTATCTATTATTCACTTCAGTATACTCAAAGACATACTGACTTAAGCATCGGAGGCTCTTCACTGGAGACAACTCCCGGTGTGAGAGTTGTTTGCAGGTTTCCGGTGTTCTACCGGCGAGGACAAGAATTGATCTACCCCAAACCAGACCAGGACGTTCACACTTGCATTAGACAGTGCTGATGGAACGAACTCCAATGGCATGAAGACATCGGTGTGATATAAAGGAATGGGTCGCTCAGGTGTCGAATAAGGCGAAAACAGTAACATCATTATGAATAATCATCCCAGACATGGTACCTGGGTGCTGATTTGCTTCGGCCTGATCGACGGCATAAACACGGGCCTGCTGTCTCCCGCGCTACTGCTGCTGGGGTTGTCTCCGGGGCTGCTGTCTGGGCTGCTATTGTTGTTGAGGTTGCTGTGGTTGCGATTGCTGTTGTCGTTCTGGGCAGTTGATACGGTTGTGCCTGGACTGTCGGCAATAGAAACAGATGTTCTGGCCCATAAGGCACTCTCCACGGTGACGTCGTCTATAATTGGCACAAGTTGGTATCGGCTGTTGTTGTTTGGGGCAGTTTCTCCGTTCGTCTGGGGTTCTCTTCACTTCTCATTTTCCTTGTTATTCGATTGTTGGGCGGCTTCTGGTTGG